TCGATATTATCTTCAGATTCAGCATACAGGGATTACTGTAGAACATGTAAAAAATTCAAGACATTAAAACCATCGCAAGCCTGTGTTATCATTATACATCATGAGCTAGTCTTGGTCAACTGGTTAGCTTGTCGGGCTGCATACTGAGGGTCTATCGTTCGAGATGTAATGGTGCTGAATGTTCTCTGGCCTTTCAGATGTGGCACTTTAGAAAAGTGAGAACAAATCCAGTGATACGGTTCAAACGGCTGGATAAAGTCCCAATAGCGGTGGGTGTTGCTGTCTGGTTTCCATTTTTCGTTCAAAATTTGGATGGGTATACCTGAGCCCTAGTAGTATTTGACATGGCTGTTTAGCTCACGTGCGCGTGTTATATTCAGGTGAATTTAATTAAGTCGAGAGCTATATCGATAAGTCCGTTAAGAAAAGGAGATTCGACAAGATAAGGTATTATGGAACAGTGTTTAATGTAGACCAGCTGAGTTTAAACGTAGGAATAACTGAACGCACAATGCAACACACTAAGAAAACAATATTTATCAAATATAAAATAAAAGTAAAAGACAAAAACAGTATGTGTACTTATTTACTTTTGTTACTTCTTTACAGAACCAAGAATATTTCAATATTGGATAATGCTCTGAATCAGATTAACTAAATGAGAGGTTTATTTCTAAAACAAAACGTCGCACTGACCTAAAACGACTGCGATACCACGTTATTGGTCATTCTCATTACACATTGATTAGGCTAGGAGCATTGCCCTAACCTTATCACGAAGTTGTATGTGGCATTGTTTTCAGGTATCACCTAACTTTTAGTATGACAAATAAACAAAAGTAATTTGAAACCAAACAAACTCAAGGGTTATTCTTGACCACACGTGAAACGAAAAACTTGAACATATTCAGAACAAAGAATGAATTTGTGATCACATCTTAATACAAAGAAACATAAAGTATATTCCTATATCACATACGCACAATGTGCCATTGAGGCTCAAAATTCCAATTCTATAACACACTAATAATTAAATGAGTTTGAGCGTTTAGGAAACAATAGCAAGTAGTTAAAATGTCCTGCGCTAGTTGCCTGTTTACAAAAGTAGGAAAGCCTTTAGGAAAGGATGCATGGAACGCGATCACCACAGTTATTTTGATCACAAATAGTTGTTGTTTTTTGTTTTCAATATTTATAAAATATATAGCATGTACTTTTACTGATAGATGAAACGTATAAACATATTTTACAGATATATAAATAGAATACATAGTGAATAGTAGGATTTGACTGTCACGTTTATAACACATCTACTACCCCAAAGCGTCCGCGCGTTTTGTACGGCAACGATTCACGAAGCAGTGATTCTCGACTTCAAGCCTAAGAAAGTAGATTTTGAAATCTGTACAATAATACATTGCAACTAACTGGATAATATCCTTTGAAACAAAACATTTCTAATGATTCACTTTCATTGTTCCTACAGCATTTATTTTACAATGACGGAAGTGTTCACCAAAAGCAAAAAATTGTTTTGCAAATTAAATGAGAAGAAAATATAAATACGTAGAATTTTGTTTGTTTGTTGTTAAGCACAAAGCTACAAAATGGGTTATCTGTGCTGTGCCCACACCGATATTGAAACCTGGTTTTTAGCATCGTAAGCGCACAAACTTACCGCTGAGCCACTGAGGGGGGGGGGGGTACATAGAATTTATTTACGACAAAATAGAGAAATAAATAACCTGAAATAAACAAAAAGGTTATTGTTTATTGTGTAAGTACAATAGCAAAAACTATAACCTAATCCTGATAGCAAGTCAATTGTACTACTAACTGCTGATGCAAGTTGATTGTTTTGTGTGTCTGTGTAAAGCATAAAGATAAACAGTTTACTCTCTGTAATCCACCCACTGTGGGTATGGAAATCCGATAAGCCCACTGACTTACAGCTAATCCAACAGGGGGAGCACTATCACGAGGCCCCCAAGTGGCACAGCGGTATGTCTGCGGACTTACAACGCTAGAAACCGGGTTTCGATATCCGTGGTGGGCAGAATACAGATAGCCCATTGTGTAGCTTTGTGTTTAATTCCAAACAAGCGAGTAAATAAAACAGAAAGTACAAGAAATATAATACAATTACTGAAGGTAAACCAGACAGCAGACAGAAGCAGATACCTGTGTAAAAAGTACAAACTACCAACGCAAGCTTCCAATAATGTAACTTAATAGATTTGCATTTAACAACGACTTTCGAAGAACATTATTTTTGTTTTGTTTTTCTGCTACACGCTCTCTGTCACCGAATGTTCAACTAAAATATTATGAAAATTAATAAATCATCATGTTAGTTTGAAGTTAAGCACAAAGCTACACAAAGGGTTATCTGTGCTCTGCTCACAACGAGAATCGAAACCCGGTTTCTAGCGTTGTGAGTCCGCAGACATACCGCTGTACCACTAGGGTCTGTACCTTTTGAAATATTCGTCTATTGACGACAGTTCGATACATTTCAAACAAAGTTGTAGAACATATTTTAATAATGGCCACAGATACAACGTCTAGTGGCAATTTTAATGGGTTTGAAAGAATAAAAGAGTAATGAAAACGGATGTTTTCGAAGTTTGTAAAAAAAAAAAACATCGTCGATGATCGATTATGTTTCACTTTTTCATGAACAGGCAAACGTAACTATGTTTTGTAAATTCTGATAATAAAAATGAAGTAAAAATTCAGCTCTTTTATTTTTGGTGTTCTCTTTTTGTTAGCTTTATTTTGTAATTTTGTTAATAATTTGTGTTTACAAAACCTTTACTTACTTCCTAAAGTAAACGTTTAATCGTGCCGTCCAAATAATTCAGGTTACTATATAAAATCCATCAGTGGGACAGCGATAAGTTTACCGACTTACAACGCTAAAATTCAGGGTTCAATTCCTCTTGGTGGACGACGAAGATAACAAGTGTGGCTTCGTTCTAAAGCAAAATCTAACATAAACAAAAAATTCAAACTATGAATAAACTACAGCCTACGAAACAGTTATTGTTGTTTAAACATTCCGAGGATGAAAATATATTCTTCATATGCATAAATTACTTTTAAAACCAGTCTTATATAAGGAAAAAAATAAATGTTTAACAATTAATTGTGAGTCTTATCTTCTAAAGAGAGCGAAAATAGCAGGGTGAATCTACTGTTGAAACATGCAGCATTATTACGACGTAATGTATTGTAAGCATACGTTTCCAGTTGCTTAGTGCAATTTCTGTTAAGGTGCTGAAACATTTTTTAAAAAGAAAATATCTCATAACAGAGAAATATGCTTACTGTCGAATGAAATTTATTTTCTAGCATTTAATTTGAGGCAATCAGTTGTGATAAGCCTATACTAATTCAGTTGTAAAAACGTGTTATTCGGTAGTTATAAAATACTTGAAGGAAAAGGATTTTGCTTTGGTTCACAAGTATTTTATCTACTTCAGCATTAGATATTAAGATAAAGATATATAGAATTATTAATTGTTAAGCGAAATACTCTCTATATTCAGATACGAGATATAACGTAACCATTAGCTTGTGCTATTAAACTTAGATTTACTTGGTGTTGTAGAAACAAAATTTAGAAAATTGCTGAGATTTTAACATTTCTTCATGATTGTTTATTTTGAATATTTCAGTAGGAATACCACGGGTTTTGTCAAAGCCTGAAAAACTGGATGTGGTAGTTTTTCCATCTTGTTGTTTTCGAGGACAGGAATCGCCGCAGGGAGGTTTCCTAGGGAACGTCTTCCATGTCAGTGAAACAGCAAAGCAATTTCATTCGGTTAATAAAGACATCAACCATCTATTGAGAAGATAACAAATGAATGGTCACCTTGAGAACGTAGCAGCGTGATAATAAAAGAGGAATACATGGCACGAGGCAAAAAGATCTCCCGCCCAATCCTGTTTGGTCTTTTCAAAGTAAAGAACTCTGTTAGGCAGAGGTGTGCAGGTGCATCTCAAATAAGTGGCATATTTCCATCTCTGCTTGAAGTATTTCACTAATATTTAAACAAATGCAATTACAAAGTACAAGGTCATTTGCATTCTATGTGAACTTTACACGGTAACAATGTGACTTCGACAGTGAATAATGATATTTTGTCTCACATGTTTTACATTACTATGATGGCTTAGATTTTACAGAACGAATTACAGCGTGTTCAAAAACAAAATTAGCATCCTTTCAAATAAGAATATATGTTTTTACTCTCAGTGATGGGCCTGGCTTAGCTTAAAATTTAACATGCATGAACTATAAACCCGAGGATTCCTGCTCCGGGTCTTCTCGTTGCCGCTAAAACGTGGTCGAGACTTTGGGTTTGTGGGTGCGCTATAAATGTAAAGGTCAACTATCACTATATGGTCAGACAAGAGTAGCCTAAGAGATGGCGGTGGGTGCTGTTGGCTAGCTACCTTCCTTCTAGTTTGTGCTAACTTTAATATTGATTTTGCACATATAATAAGATTATACATTGGAGCAGCATTTCTATGCACAAGTATATTATTTTTACACTTCGACTTGTTTCTTTAGTAAAGAATTAGAGAGGCATAAACAACATAAATAGTGGAGTTTCTAGCTAAAGTATGAAAACACTATTGACGGCCATGCACACGTGGGTTTTCGTATATATATCAGTATGTACAATTAAGAACATCAATATGAATTTCAGCAGTGAATGACTATCTCATTGTGAAAGTAATTTTATTTTAAGCATAATCAAAACATTCGAGATTAACATTTACTTTTATTATAAATAAAAACGAATAAATTTATTCAGTTACTTATATTGAAATTAAATTGTACTTAATGATTTAGTGTACTTTTGATACAATACACAATTGCTAAAATTAAATTGTATTTTTCTGTTCAGTGATTTAATTTAAGCGATTTAAAACAGTTTCAAGGTGAATTTTCCCTCCTACGTATAAGCTTTCATTAAAGTTGCCCATTTGAAACAACTGTTTTCATCGAATAGAAACAAAACATTGTTAAACACTGTATCTTATTTTAATGCATAATTTTAAGCACATAATGTAAAATTTAGCAAAGACGTGTACGTTTTTGTTTTATTAGCTCTAACATATTTCTTGGGCTTCAAAAAAGGAATTCTGTATTCAAGAGGGAGTATCAGGCCCCCACCCCCATCCCCCATATTCTGCATATTCTAAAGGTTCATTAAAAATACAGAAACGTTGTTTTAGCAGTTCGCGAGGAGGAAAGAGGCAAATTGAAACTGGAAGTTGATAAGTCCATGTCACAGGGATATACTACTATTTTGATTGAGAGTTTAAATCAAGAAAATTGCTCTGGTAAAATAACTAAAGCTGTTAAAAAGAAGGACAATAACACGAATATCTATCAGAGTGGAAGCAATTACAAGAGACGCTAGTTACCCTTCAGTTATAGGCTCGTGGCTGTGTTTCCTGGAAATTTTTATTTAAGTAGGTATCGCAGTAAGTTATCTTTACCCTAGACTATTTGACTATTTCTATGGCGCCATTCAGTTTGTTAACGGCTACCCGCTTCCCGCCATCCTGACAGTATCTCACCATGTGACATCATTGCTGTTCTCAGAATATCTAAAGGAAAAATTGAAGATTGAATATCGTTCAATTTAATCCAAGTACATACTTTCAACATTGCTTATTAAGAGCACAAAATAACATAATCTGATTTTCGCATATTTTCTTATAATTTAAACATTTATCACCGAGAAATGTTTTAAAGGTTTACATTGGGCAAAGACCTCATCGGCGCTGTATATGGCAGATATAGTGTGATTGACATATTATTACATAGTTTTTTGGTTTCATTAATACGTTCTAAGAACTGATTAGTTGTCCAAGTTAATAGCACTTCTGAAATACTGAAAACTTCGACTTCTCCTGCTTTGAGAACGTTAATCAATATTAGTAACCTAAAACTTAATGATTCAGTTGTGCTGTAAAACATTTGAAAATGGATTTATCGACGTCTTGAATTTTGCTATTTATTAATACGCGTGGGACTTTGACGATTGGTTTTATTATAGACAGATAGATATTACGAAGTGTAAAACTTATTAACTTTTACCTTTTTTAATAACAAAATTAAGAAGATATATTGTTTAACGCTTTCTTATACATTTCTTCATCTGTTACAAGGGGTATTTGTCCAAAACTGTAACGTACACAACAATTAATTTTGAAATATGCTGAGATAATACAAAATATGAAAGGACAGTTTTCTTTACGGTCATCAGATTATAAGTGCAAGATCAATAAATTAAAGATTATTCATTACCTTTAGGCAAGAGCACTAACATGAAAAATGTTTTGCTCAAAGATAATTATTTGACAAGCGTGGAGATTAACTGCTTGTCTTGATTTAAACCCCTCAGATCAGTCATACTAAAGTCAAAACAAGTTTTTAGTCTCAACCCTCCTTTTCTGTTTATCGGTCCACACATCTGGAATGTAGACACAGTAATCATTCATAGAAGAAACAAATGACAGGTAGAACGTGTCTGTTTCATACAGTATTTGTTATTTGATTGAATAAAAGAGCTGACAGATTTCATAGACAAATAAGTAATTGTGCCAGTACCATTATAAACCAACGATTACATGGGTCTAGCCATATATATGAAAAATTAAGAGAGGGGGTCATTGAATGTGATCTGGGTGCAGGAAGACCAAGAAAACAGTTCGGGAAGGTAAAGATAAGAAAAGTGCCTAATATGACTCTACAACACGAAGTGAAACAAGGGAAAGCAGTGAGTTAGTAGTTTCGAGATAAGGAACTAAATTATCTAAAGTGCACAAACCAAGAATTTAACATAATATATTACGTCACTTCTGTAATAACGTGAAACTGATAGTACTATCATTCCGCTTAAAACAAAATGTGTGTTTATTGAAATCAGAAAAATATCGTCTTTTACTCTTTGTTGTCTCTAAGAGTTAATCCTTGCACTGAACTAACACTGATTACGAAGTTTGGGCAGACTTATGTTCTAACCGCTGATTAGCCATCAATAATACATCGTCTGAAACGAATACTATAGTATAACCACTAATACTTACGTATTTGTTTATCAGAAAATACGTCCACATATTTCCAAGTGTCTTTTTTTGTTTTGTTTTGTTTTATAACCATTTCAAATTAGGGAGAAACCCCAAAGATAACTGCACTAATTCTTGAGTAATATTTTTAAAATTTTGTGCGCAATATAAAAGTGTAAGCACGAAAAAGTCAATTTTGAACGAGCTAGCTTAAATTAGATATCATCTATTGACAACATGAAGTTTGAGAGAAATTATAGGAAGTATTGCTTTTCCCTTAACTGGTCTTCTTGAAGATATATACTTTGAATTATGCCGTATGCTTAAGTCAAGAAAATAATGATAAGTGTTTTAAATTTCAAATCGAATGAATATTCAATATTTTTTTTCAATATTGTTTAATATCGCAGAATTTATTAAATAAATATCATATAATGTTTTATTATTAATTATTTTATTCTATTGAATTACTGGTGTTATTTTCAAAACGATCTGCTAGTGGGCACCAAATGGAAAAGATCCTTTAATTCTTGGTCTGTGCCGTCTCCAAATTCAAAGATATTTCGGTTAGTTGTATCTTTTATTTCAGAAATTTTGCGAAAAGCAACACAGAGAGCTATCTACGCATAACCTTTTATAATTTTTAAACAGGTAGACCAGACGGGAAGCCATCTAGCCAACAGCACACACCGCAAAAAAATGGTGCGCTCTTGTCTGACTGAATAGTGAGATTTGAGTGACACAATTTTATAGTGAACTTAGGCCTCAAAGTGCTGAGCTCGTTTTTGCGTAGGTTGAACGTGGCCCAATGGCTAGCACGCCAGGTTGTGGATTCGAGGTTCGTGATTTGCGCTCCGTTATCGACAGAAAAAATTAAATAAAATGCGCTCTGAAATTTGGGGTCGTGAGTGCGTTATAAGAGTGACGATCAAATCCGATTGATTAACTAAAGTAGTCTCAAAATTGGCGGTGGGTATTTTTAATTATCTACCTTCCTTCTAACCTATCACTTCAATATTAGAGACTGTTTGTTTGTTTATATCAATTTACCCACAAAGCTACAAAATGGGTTATCTGTGCTCTGCCCACCACGGGTATCGAAACTCGATTTTTAGCGTTGTAAGTCCGCAGAGTTGCTGCTGTGCCATTAGGGGGGGGGAGGGCGTTAGAGACTGTTAGCGCAGATAGTGCTCGAGTAACTTTGCTCGAAATTCAACAAACATTAACAATAAACGATAGTTTTTGCGGCAAAAAGTGCACCATGAACAATCGAATTCGCAGTCCGAGCGCGCTAATCACTCATAACGTACTTCTTTATTGAAAGACCGACTAATTTATGATATTCTGACTTCATGTGGCTTTAAACTAAAACAAATTAAATCTTTTATTGACACTTTTGGTGTCAGAAATCAGGCACTACTTTCAAAATATAACTAAAGATGTTCATTTACTTGCACTTTTACATCTTTCATGCTTCCTTAAACAGAAAGTTCGTTATTTGTGGGGAATCTTCACGGTTGTTTGATTATCAAACATATATACACCTGGAAAAAAGTTAAGCACCCCCGTGTTTTTTCAAGTGATTCAGATTCGACGTTCTTGTGACTGATTATAAATTACCATTCAAGCTAAACGTGTTTATCAAATGAAATTATGCATTATTGGGCACAAGAAAACAAGATTATCACCGTAAAATAACAATTTTTAATTTACATATCATGACATCAAA